TTGGCAGTTGTTGGTTTTCCACCTTTTGATGATTTTGATGTAGTCTAAGGAAAAGACATACCGTACGTTCGTCCCCTCCTCACCCCGTCATCCATCGTTTTTGGCATATAGTATCTAAAAAAATCTATTTGACTTCAAATGGGAAAGCCCAATGCTTGGGAAATGGCTGTGATTGATTTTCTCAGCTTCACAATTTCTTCTTTTTCCACCCATTGCTAGTTCTGTCTTTTTCATGTTGTGAGACAAAGATACAGACACTCCCCTTAAAAATATTGGAACAGTGAGGCTCCGCCCCCCCCCCACCACCACCAAAAAAGAACGTTTGAGCAATAACTGTGATTGATTTTTCACCTTTTTTCATCTTCACAATTGCTAGTTTTTTTTTTTTTGTTTTTTTTTTTACCCACAGACATCTCTGGAGAGAAATCTAAATGTAGTTTGCACAAGAAAAACCCAAGACTTTTGTTCCGTCTCACAATGAATGGCATATTTTCCCAATGTTCAGTCTCTCGGTTGACATTTAGCAGCTGAGAAATTTTGCTTTCGCGACTTTTGTGTTTCTCCCGGCATGTCATCTGTCATCAGTCCATAATCTGTCAAATGTCAAGCGGCATTCAAGGGGAGCGCTGCCGCGGGATTAGAGAAGCATGCCAGTTTGCATTTGCTAGCTCCACTCCTGATGTGCTCATCAAATCATCTTAAAATGACTCAATTCTAAAGGACGTCGCTTGACCAGAATGTTTACATTGCCGAGGCAGCCGTGTGCAATCTCATATAGTGGTCAATCAACTTTGGTTGAGCTGCGCAGAGATTGTGCCAAGCACAGGTGGGAGTCCTTTCTGTTTCTGCTCTTCAGCCATCACTGTATGTCATGCGCTAAATACACTTGTATACCTGTGAGTTAATTATGCCAGTGGCACGCCCACTGAGAGCGCCGAAGGCACAGTAGACTCATTCGCTCGTATTACACAAATACACCGAAGGTTTCGCTTTGAAGCCAAGAAGAAAACGGACTCTTTTGTCACTGAGGTAATCTCTTTCTCTAAATATTGTACTCACTCTTTGTGTGAGAGTCAATAATCCCCCGGAGAAGGTCTGGGAGCGACACTGGGGATGTTTTATTATCCAATGTCTCTGTTCATCTACCCTTTGCATCCCTTCTTCTTCTCTACAAATACACCCAGTAGGCCACTTACATCAATACGACCTCTTGCTGTATTTCTTTACCGCCTCCTTCCACACGCAGAAACAAAGTAAGACAAACGAAAAGGTGTAGTGAGTTTTTAATCCATACTATTCTTCGTTTGATTTATGTAACCATTGTGGGTGATTAAGAATGTAGATTCTCACTGTAAATGACGTCTGACTGTCAATCTTAAGGCTTTGCCATGTAAAATATACCATACGCTACCCCTTTTCCACTGTACAGTAACCAGGTACAGTTCTAGACCATTGCTGGTTGCTCATTGGATAACTATAATCGTTAAAAATATGTATTATGATTGTTAAGCCACACATAACTTTGCAAGTGATTGTTTTGACCATGCACTTGCGTGATTGTTACTCCACCCACGACTTTGAGAGAGGTTGTTTTGAATTTGGAATTGTTATGCCACACATTGTTGTTGTTGTTGTTGTTGTTTTTTTTTTAATGACATAATCATGCAGAGCTTTGTGACTGATTGTTTTGTCAACATGAGAATGTGATTGTTATGCCACGCTGAGTTTTGAGATTGATTGTTGTGACAATACAGAGGCGACCGTTATGCCATACACAGCCACGGGAGTGATTGTTTTGACAAAACAAGTGCTTGATTGTTATGCCACACATTGCTTTAAAAGATTGTTTTGTTTCGACGAGCATGCAATTCATATACCACACACAGTTTCGAGATTGTTTGGCTGTACGACCATGCAATTCTTATAACACACACAGTTTTGATAGCAATTGCCTTATAAGAACCGGATCATGTGATTGTTATTCTTACACCTATCAGTGTGATTGTTCTGTCAACACAAGCGTGTGACTGTTATGCAACACAGCTTTGAAACTTGTTGTTTTACTGGCAATGACATGGGATTGGTCTACTGCTGTGAGAGTTATTATTTTGACAATACAAGCGTGTAATTGTTATTCCACACACAGCTTTGAGAGTGATTGGTTTGACAACGTAAGCATATGATTTTTATTCATTGCAAAACCTCAAGAGTGATTTTTTTTTAATGATGCAGGTGTTGTTATGCCACACATATGGCTTAGGACATTACATTTGAATGTGAATGACGCAAATGGTTGCACTCACCTAGCTGTAAAGTCAACAGTCCAACATGAACAGTGAATAATTGCATAATTATTTATAATTGGACACTTACATAATAACTGACTTGCATTTGGACAAACGCAACACACTGTTAAAATGTACCACTACTCCGAATGCTGTGAATTTGTTCACATTGAAATGGCCCCCATACTTTGAGTAAATGCACGCAGCCCACGGATGTCACAAAAATGTCAGTGTGGAAGGCCTTCACAGAGGAAAGTGTGACCAAAACATGGATGTTGAAACTTTCCCCTGAGAAAAGCAAACGTATCGACATCCCAATCTAATGTGACGAAAATGTGAGTGTGGAACCCTTTCACTGGGATCTTATGAAAAAAAAAATCATGGATCCGATGGTTGCCATCAATTTGTTTTTAGAAGAAAACTTTTCAAAGGACAAATCAATAGCGTAGCAATTCTTCCAAGGTCTTTTATAAAAGTATTTTTCATTTCGTTTCGTTTATTGAAAACCCCCATTAGCTCTTGACTCGTGTTAGTCCAGAGACTATGTGGCCTGGCTGCTGATCTGATGTTGCAGGTTGAACCGCGGTTGCCGTAGAGACCTTCGATGGTAATCTGGAGCACTGAATGAACCCTGAAGTCCCTCAATAAATTCTGCTGCTGATTCAACGGCTGACTCATTCACTTTTCTTATTCTCCTCCATTTTCAGGTAAGCAGAAAAATATGAGAAAGAATCACTGATGAATTGCTCAGCAATACAGTGTGTAGAAGGGAATGTAAAACCACACAAGAATATCTTTCACATCTGGTGTGTCTTCAGATCTTTAAAAAAAAAAAAAAAAAAGTCTTGCCTTTGACTAAACTGTATTCGCTGAAAGCCTCCAAAATTTAAATGAGCAAGAGGTCTTCAATGTAATCAAAATGGCCTAATATCGTCTTAAATATGACTTCTTCAAGACTGCGCTTACCTGATTTTTAAGTTCTGTTTAACTCTGAAATTAGAAAAAAATGAAATAATACGGCATTATAACAAAAATGTTTTGAATTACCGACCATACCAAGCAACGTAGATTACCGTTGTTTTGTTTTCCCCTCAGTCACTTGTTGCCAGGTAGAATTCGTAGGTCACAATTCTCGCTGCCCCACTGGCCAATGAAAATAATGGCATATGCTAGCCATGCCCATTAGGCACTGAAAAACACATTGGTTAACGAGAACTTTAATTGATGCTACTGCTTATTTACTTCTTTTAGAATTGCATTTTTTCCAGTTCTAAGTCAATGTATTGACGCAAGCAATATGAATCTTCTTTTTTTTTAAGATGCCACACACATGCAGTTTGTCAAGGTTATTGAATGCCACGTACTCGTAAATGTTCTCCTGCCTGTGCGATCTCTCTTGCAGACAAGCATGGCGCCGCCATTAAGGATGACGAGTGGCTCCATCTTGTCAATTTGTCAGTTGTATTTGTCGCTCACCTCCCTGACGCCATGAGCATCAGTCACACGCACGTTGGGGCGGAGCTGCACCACAAGTGTGGGTGTTACAGCCCCTGTGGATGTGAGGAAAACTGTGGGTGTTGGAACCTTTGACCGGGCAAAGTTGCAACACCTGCATTTTAACAACATGAAATTGGTGGTCATGGCTCTCAAAAAATGGACCCATGGCCAAAACGACACAGGAAGTCGACCATTTTAATTTGAAGCGGCCATTTTAGCCCCGTTTTCAGTTGTTTGTGAAAGACGAAGTCTTCCTAGAAATGTGTCTGGTTGCTTCTGAATTTAAAGCACAAATAGTCAAGTGTCCGTTTTTGTTAATTGTAAAAAATACAGTATTAAAAACATTTGGAAAACTACTGAAAGAAATCTGTCAATGGGTGACTCTCCAGGCACCATTTGAGTGCATTATTTGGCAGCTCTTGACCTTTTCACACGCAATTCTCCATCGTGTGTGAAGTTGAGAAGCACCTTGCGAGTCCACTTTACTTCCCTATTAAAGAGGCAAAACCCGATCATGTTCCGACTGAGATGTTGCATTGTGACCTTTTCACCATCCGCACCCTGTGCACCTCCCGCCAAGAGACTGGCACATCCTTGTGCACCTAAAGACAATACGATTCCTTCCTTCCAAATAAGCTTTGTTTCCCAAGGATGTGTGGGTTTTTGTTGGAATGGCGAACGGGGGGTGCGGTAGGGGCGTAGTTTTTGATTGCCATACAATGGAGATTTTTGCCTATTCAAATGAGGGATGACAGATGTGTGTTTATGCGTGTGTGTGCTTGAAGTAGACAGAGTAGGGCTGTAGTGCCCTCTTGTGCTACTGCAATGAACAGTCAGCTTACTTTCTGGACCTGGATTTGACACAGTCGAATTTGAGCACACCGAGTTCAAGTTCATCTTGTCTTGCTTGATTGATAATTATATAATAAACCGGGCCGCAAAAAGTGACAATAAATAAATAAATTTAAAAAATAATAATAAATAACCCGTTTTCCACCTCAAGATTGATTTTAAAAAAATCACTTGTTCACTGGTAAACGTGGGTGTCGGGTGCTTATCCCGCTCAGATGCAAAAAAAAAGTATGGGCGTTGAAACATATTTTTTGATATTATTGATATTGCCCAGTTGTGAAACTCAAAGGATTGACAATTCTTCAAGGCAAATGTGAAACAGATAATCTTATTCATTTATTTTTCGACCTCTGCAAGGAATTGTGGTCTGTTGCTTTATTCTTTTGTGGTATTTAACAATTCATCTTTCAGTAATGTTTGTTTTATTTAGAGTGTGGAATTACTGTAAGAAAAGTCTATCAATGTGATAATTGCTATTCTATATTAATACGATTATGGCTTTTGGACACAAGTGTATAGATGCTTTTATTTTTGTTTTCAGACTGTATATGCCTGTAAATCCACGAAAAAACTTGGGCTGGTTATCAAAAGAACGACAACAAAAAGTCCACAACAACAAAAAAAAATCCGCGGATGCCTAACCGGATTACGCGGGGTTCAAATTGTATTCACTTAACATTTTTTTTCATGTCCTCTTAAAAAGCCATTCGAGGGACCATCCATCCGATTTGAGCTGCATGGATGCCGGGCTGGAACTTCTCAGACGAGCCCTCATGATGATGGGCTGCAGAGCCAGAGAGCAGCGCGCATGCGCGGTGCATCCAGGGGCTCGGCGGCGTTCGGTGCTGAAGTGGGGCGGATGGACGGAAAAACGGCGCCGATGGACGTTCTGCGGCCAAATCGCCATTAACGATGCCCTTCGAGAGAGGTCGGGACATCGTCGCGTGGGCACCCACCACCCTGGGACACTGACAGTCCGACACAAAGCGGTAAGACGACGCTTTATCCGGGCGCGCTCCGAATCCGGGGGCACGCACACACACACACACACACGCACACGCACACACGTACACACTGGCTGCGGCGGCGAAGGAGGAGGCGGTGAAGCTAGCTCGGCGGTTAGCATGGCAGCTAGGTCGCCCGCTCAGCTCCCTCCGCCTCCTCCCGAAGATAGCGGCTTTCGGGCGGCGAGCGAGCGACAATGATGGCGCTGTCGCTCGAATCGGGTCCGTCATGAACTACCCTGACTGCGTTCGAGCTCGGGTGACGGCTGCGCTCGGATGGGTTCGCAGCAGCTGCTAGCCAGTGGAGCTAATCGTAATAGTAGTAATGGAAGTTCCTCGATGAGAGCAGGTTCAAGTGAGAACGGGTAAATGGGGGGGCCTTGAGGCACATGCAACATTTCCACCCTAGACACTTTTTTCGTACAAACGACCTCCATTTTTCAGCTCCTTGGGTGACCAGATGAGAGCACCCCCTGCGCGTTGTGTCGCCAGAGTTCCCTGGTTCAGGTTCAGGTTCTAATCATTCTTCCTGGTTCCACTTACTTTGTGCCTTCTCCAATTTGCTTGGGGGTTATATACTGTATACTGTACTGCCACAAGAATCCACCAAAAAGAAGCTCTCTCAAATTAGCAACGTGACAATTTTTTAAAATTTTTTTACTGAAGATGACTGTATATCAAACTGCTGAGTATGTTCGGAATGGTCATTCAACCTGAGTACAACGCTCCAAGAATTTAGAAAATCAAATGATGGGTTACAGAGAAATTGTGTATTTTGTATCGACAAAAATGTATTTTTCTGGACAACGTTTTTGTGTGACATCGCCAATAGAAAATCTGGCCCAGAATATATTCAAATTCAAGTAAAGACAGTACAACGTTTAAGTTTTTCTGTGATCGGTTGACAAATTTCAATAAAACATATCCACAAATAAGGTTTTACAAGCCGAAAGTCCCAGCCCTTCTCCAAGTCTTTGCGGCAACATTTTTCTGATGCTTCAAACGGTGTCACTTGCTCTGAAAACGTCACTTAAATCGTGCAAATCGAACATTGTAAAAAAAAAAAAAAAAAAAGAGAGAGCAGTAAGGGCATCAAAATCAGTCATGTGCTTTACTTGTCCCATTTACTCTTTGAGTACTTGCCGACAATTGTGAGCAAAGACCTTTCCTTTTGACGCAGATGATGATTCACCAATGTATCACATGGCCACAGTATTGCATCTACAACTGCGATGTCAAATTTTGTTTTTTGACTTAATTATTGGTGGCTGATATTGGAAGCCCTTCTGAGTAACTGATGACTTAGAATAAGGCTGGGATGGGCACAATACGGATCCCAGGTATCGGTGCTCACCCATTCAGAGTACCAACACGTTTCGGGTGACGTAACGGTGTGCGATGATCAAGTTCACACATTGGTGTAAGAATAAGTGGCTGAGCTATGTGTGACATAACAATCACACGTAACAAGTGTTGTCAAAACTATCATTCAGGTATGCCAAACACTCACTGTTGTTTTTAACGCTGTTAACCGTGGACTTCTGCTTTGACAGGAAGTTCCTATTTGGCCTGGAAAAAAAAAACAGACCTCGTGAATAGCAGAAAATGCGTAGAGTGACAATAAACTACCCTGATAAACTTGCCAGAGGGGTAGCGTCAACAATGCTTCTTTCACGCTGTGTAATTTGTTTTGCTGGAGCTCGACCAAAGTGGTTAACGTTAGGCAGGGATAATTTTCTGTCACAATTATTCCGCTGTTGCCATCCAAACATGAAATCGTCGCACCGAGGAAGGGTGGTCGACAGCCTTTACCGCCACGATTTTCAGTTCATTGAATGTTTATCAAGAGTTTGGGGGAGAATTTATAGGGTTTAAATGTTATTATTTCTTCCCAATGCGTTTCAATGAGCGCCAATTACACGGGGAATTTGGGCGATTTGTTAGCCGGGCGGGTCCCAATCACTCTGAACTGCAGCGGTCGACTCTACGGTGAGTAAGGAAGTTGTTGAATTAGATTGGATACTTTTTTTTTTTTAAACTTGCCGATAGGCTCCAAAATCCTGATCGTGTAAAGCATGGGTGGCCAACCTGCGGCTCGCGAGCCGCATGCGGCTCTTTGGCTGGTTTAATGCGGCTCCCGGGCTTTCACATGACAAGCGTTGGAAACGCCTCAGCGGGGGCCCTGCCATTCAAACACAAAACTTACTATGTCAGCCTATCAACAATCCCGTTACTTGATTGACATACTGGGCAACCAGTCAGATGACAACTCAATCACCGCCCATGCGCAAACAACAGCGCTAAGCGCTAAGCTAGTCAACGAATTACCTCTGATTTTAAGGCAGGGGTGCCCAATACGTCGATCGCAATCGACCAGGAGCCAGCGGACTGGTCCCAAGTCGACCGCGAGGGGTGGGAGGAGGAAATGGGGTGAGGAAGGGATGCGGTGATGCTTATGTGTGCCCATGTGTATGATGTGGCTCTTTGCAGTAACACAGTAAAAAAAAGAAATGGCTCTTAGTCTCTGACTGGTTGGCCACCCCAAGTGTAAAGCCTAATCTTGGGTCATTTTTTTTCTTTTCAATGAAGTATTTAAAGCCCTGATTTCCTGCAGTCTGAACTGTCATCATGCCTTTGGCCAAACAAGATGCAACAGCTTCAGTAATATCCGACCACAGTCTGCTATTTTTGGCGTAAGTTAGTGTCCACTTAGCGAGTGTTCCAGCGATGCTCACTTGAAGCATTTGCTCCCTCTTTTTGATCCGTAGTGTGTAAATCTGTTCAGTAGTCTTTGAACAAACAAGCAGCCACGACAAAGGTACCACGTGGGTTGCGCAACACATTGACCTCAAACTTGTTACAAGTCTCTCAATTATGCTCTTGATTGCATTGCCCGATAAGCCCGTATTGGTTGTCAAAAACGATTTAACACATGTGGGGGTTTTTTTTGTTTTTTTTTCCCCTCCCTTAGATGCTGTACTTTCAAGTCCGCAAACGACCCATTCGCTGAGATTGGAGGGTTAGCCGGCAGGAGAAAACCAAAGGAGCGGTCGTGAACTGAAGGAGCATTTCGGTGACTGTCTCGGGTCAGGGATGGTGAAACCACTCACCGCTGCTGCTGTTGGTAAAAAAGGACCACCTCGCCTTGCCCTGAACCTCCCACCAGCTACCAAGGCAGTCCATTAGCCAATCTCAGACGCTCTGCTGAGCGGCCTCGCTATTGTCCGGCAACCGATTACCTCACGCCATGACTACTCTGTCTGACCTGCTTTCAAGTACTCACTAATTCATGGTAAGATGTGCCATCAAACCAAATTTATTTGGGATTGTGAAGTCCGTATTTGTAGACACAATGTGGCTGGGGTCATTGTGTCAAACCCGTTGAATTGAAGTTGCAATATCTGTCCGAAAAACTTTTGAGCCCGAGTGATTATCATGCGGCACTTTTTGAAGCACTAGAAACCTTCCACAAGTGTGACTTTTATGCTCCCGCTGCCACGTTTGTATTTTCGGTCCGGGATTTGCAAGTGCTGTCAATGCAACCTCGCCTCTCCACCTTCTCAACAAAGCCGCGGCCCGCCGTCATTAGCATCCAGCGGGACCGTTTTATTTATTTTTTTCTCGTACACGGGCTCGTTGCCTGGTTGCTGAATAACTGATGCGCTTTCCCAATGGTCAGGCGACGTCATTTGCATATCAGACAGCCCCGTCGCCTTAGTTTCCCCCATCCGTTGTATGTCCATATGCAGACCAGGTAGAGAGGGACGGAGGGTCTCTGCTGCTCATCTTCACATCCGAGGTGTTAATGACGGGTTTAATGTCGGCAGGTAGGCGCGCTCTCTATGTTTTGTTTTATGATCAACTGCAACTTTGATTAAATTCAGCAGGAATTCACCTCCTCGATGAGATTGATGACAGGAGTTGTGATGTAACAACCTGAATTTGGAGCTGCGAGAGCGCCGTTTGCTCGGCAGCGCGAGGAGGCTTTCCCTGGTCTGTTTAACTTGCAGCGAGCCCGCCAGCTGGCCGCCTCACTCTCCTGGCGCTTAAGAAATCAAATTACAAGGCCGCACTGTGCGTTATTGTCTGAGGCACTTTAAATGACTTCTTTGAGAGAGGCATTTCATTTAGATTAGCCCGCAGTGCTCGCTGCAATCCGGCCCGTAAAGAAAAGACGGCAGTGTGATGTTCAAGTGGCTCTCTCGACGCCTGCCCTGTCGTCCACTTCCCTTGCCCCTCCCGCCCCCACACTTGTAACCCAAAGCTTCGCTCACGTCCACCTTCCGAGCATGTGAAATGTGAGGGGGAAACCCCCAAGCGACGGTGGCAGAGCTCCGCGGCATCTACAAGGTGGAACACGGCGTGTACCCAAATCATCCTTGAACGTGAAATTGCTCGACCCCCAGATGGGAAATAATGTCAAGCGCACGAATCTGCGAGCGGCTTAAACTCTTTTCAGCATTAACCGTTTATTAACCGGAGCGGCAATGTTTTACGTAGTAAGTTTAATTCAAATGGCAATGGGTAATTTACAATGTGCAATTTTGATGGAAAAAAATGGATGGATGATGATGATGTAATATTTGCTGATACAGGTGAGAGCTCATCTACCAATCACACAATTTCTCATTCGAGACTTTGGCGGTGTACGGTAATCAGTGCCAAGTGTGAACTTTTCTTCAGTAACAGGTGATTTGTGTGTTCTGTGTGCGCCACAGCCCCGGAGTGTGAGTGGAGTGGAGATGAGAAAAAGGCAGGCGGCGCACATCGAGGCCCCACCACAGGTCCCCGGACAGCCCCGACCCAACACCTGCTGTCTCTGCTGGTGCGGCTGCTGCAAGTGTCTCTGGTAGGTCCTCTGCTTCTCCATCCACACTAACCACAGAAACATGAGCGTTGTCGCCCCCCCCCCCCCCCAAAAAAAAATTCTCAAGCACCTCTGGGTTGAAAGGAACTCACCCCTTGCAAGATAGGCGAGCAACTATTTTAAGCATGAGGATGGGGTCTTCCTTTTAATCTGGTGGCTGTTAGTGAGGACATCATTGGATAGATAGTTGAAGGCCTAAAGTGCGGACAATAGCAAGACTTGCACGAAAGAACTGTCGCGAATGTTGGGACGAGTGTTTAAGTGAATCAAAGGGAGAATGGTTTTGTGGTGATGTTGCTTTGACTCAATGAAACGGAGGGAGCGGAGGCGGGGGCTGGGGGGGTTGGTGTTGGAAGAGTGGTGGCTAAGAATTGTAGGGGATAAATAATTGCCAAAGAATGTAAATATATTTAGAAATGGGATTTTAATATACATCGGTGCTTTAACTTAAAAGTTTCATTCATGCAATGGTGTCAACTTTCCCCTTTGAAACGGATGGCAATGCTTTTAATCCGTTGAGACACCCCCCCTAGCTCCCCAAAAATGACATTTTAGAAGCGTTTATTTTTTATAATAATAAATAATAATAATAAAATACTCTAATAAGAATTGGGTTCACTGCATACTGCACGTTGCAGTGGACTGTTTGTTGCTCATTATCTGATACTGTAAAGCCAATTCCAGAAAACGGTGAATATTTAGCCGGGTTGAGCACGGCGTGCGGAGCAGTGATTTCAAACCAACCTCAGAACTGTTAGGGCACACACGCTAACCACTACCGCACTGTGCTGTTCTCTTGAACCCAATATTGTTAAACTATTTAGGTTCCGCTGGATATCCAAACGGCCTCATGTGGGGTGAAAATCGTTTAAAATCCAGGCCCAGTTGCACGGAAGACCCGCCTTGTTGGGTTGCCCCCCCTCCCCCACCCCCCAAAAAAAACCCTACGCAAGCCAGCAAGCAATCGATGCCAACAAGCGGCACATCCCGCTCCTGCAGTCGCCTCGCTCGGGCCGCACGCTTGGCCTTAGAAGACGGTGAATGAATGTTTGTTGTGGGCCAGTGAATGGTGAATGCGTCGCCTCTGTCGCAGCACTCCATCTGAAGAAGTGGCAGGCTGGCAGCTTGTCAGACCTGGAAGTAGTTTCCCAACAAGCCAGCGTTTCAATGATTTCCGTGCCGATCTATTTATTTATTTTCTTTTTTCCTGTGCTGGTGGTTAATTGTTTTTTTTTTCCCCCCTCCTGGTCTAGCAATCTTCCTCATCTCGCTTCACCCCCTCCTCGCTCATCCCCTCTAACCTGGTCCTCACCCACGATCATACAATCCCCTTCTATTTCCATCCTCTCGTCACATGCAAAACAGCTGTGAGGAACAGCCTGTATATTTAGGCGTACTGTGAGAGCGCCCGGGGGCTGCGGCCCGCTTACCCTATTAGAGGCAGCACAATGGGGACTTTGACAAGAGCCCGGCAAGAGGAAGCAGAGATCCTCCATGGTGGGACAAAAATAGACGGCGCAGTGTCTGTTGCATTATGGACCAAGGCGAGTGTGACGGGAGTCGCGGCGGACAGAAGGAAGCTCGCATGTGTGTTTAGCGCGTTGACAGGAGGCCATTGTTCACTGGATGTCTGGCAATGTTTATTATAGATTGTCTTGCTCACTTGAGGATCACACGCTTCTTTCCCAGCTTGATTAATAGCTGCATGATACAAACCAAGAATGACGTGACGGCAATGTTGTTGTTGTTGGGGTTTTTTTTTGTCTATGTTGTGGGTAAATTTGGGGCAGTATTTGCATTTCCTTTCAAAGATTGTAAAAAAAAAGGCACCGGACACCACCATTTATCTTTTCTGACAAAAGAGTTGAAACACAGCCTGCCTCTTCCCATTCATGTCACACGAAAAGTTTGTCACGATGACACCCAAAAAAAAAAATCTACTAGGATGAAATGTAAAATGTGCCTGGCGACGCTCTTTTAAATGCACGGATAAGCCAGGAGGCTCTTTGTCTTTTTTTATTAAACGACCATGAAATTTGGAGTCTGAATGCTAACATTGTACGCTAGCATTGACAGTCGGCAGCGAATAATGCAAGCTTTGTTTTTGCCTTGATCACAAGCTAACAGACTGACTTGTCTCTGCGCATTTGCAGAACTATACAGTATGTGCAACAACACGTTACCTTGTCCTTCGCATACTGTGAAAGAAAGTTGAAGGTCGTAAGCGCAGCTTACATGCTGAGCTTACGTTTGAGAGCCCCACTGAAAGTAACATTTTTAAAAAATTGAATATTCAGAGGGAAAATTGCACTGTTACTTTTGTCAGAACAGTGTCATTGTCATCGGGTGACTATTTCTTTTAATTTTGATCCAAATTTAAAAAAAATAATCTTTACGAGTAGATTGCTAATGAATTCAGCCTTGAATCCAAAGAAGCAAAGTGCACCGTTTGACTGCAGTAATCTCGATCACCCCTGGACACGGCCGTGAGTAAAAGCCTGCCTGTTGCCCAACATGCAGGAATGAAGACAGGATGGAGAGAAGCGAACGCCAGACCTGTACCAAGATGGACAGTATAGAAGCTGCAGAAGAACAGTAAGTCCTCAACCCCGTCGCCCTTGGCTTTGCGTCGTGACGACCGCTTTGTCTTGATCTCTAGCGTTTCCCACCGCCACCGCAGACACCCCAGTCTCGACGAGGTGCTCTCATGGTCTCGGAGCTTTGAGATGATGCTGCGCTCGCTGGAGGGTCGGGAGATCTTCCGGGAGTTCCTGAGGTCAGAGTACAGCGAGGACAACCTCCTATTTTGGTTGGCCTGTGACGAGCTGAAGAAGGAGACGGACCCCTCGGTGGTGGACGAGAAAGCCAGGATCATATACGAAGACTACGTGTCCATACTGTCGCCGAAAGAGGTTTGGACTCTGGTTCCTCTTTGTCAAAGGGAGGCCATTTGTTTGAAAGCCGACCTTAAATCAACACACCACTGAAAATGAATTGTTCGTTATTCGACGAGGCCAGGGGTTGGCAACCCAAAATGTTGAAAGAGCCATATCGGACAAAAAAAAAAAAAAAAAAGTGTCTGGAACCTTAAATAAATAAAAGCTCCAGGGAGCCACTAGATGGCGCTAAAGAGCCGCATGCAGCTCTGGAGCCGCGTGTTGCCGACCCCCGGACTCGGCGGTGTATACAAACAATAATCGTGCAAATTTCAAAAAGGCATCCGATTACCTGAAAAAAAGTTTTTTTAATACTGGCAAGAAAAGTTTCCCGACTACCCTGTCAGCCGTTTTCTTATTCTCATCCGCGGCAGGTGAGTCTGGACTCGCGGGTACGCGAGGGCATCAACCAGAGCCTGGCCGAGCCCAGCAGCCTGATGTACGAGGAGGCGCAGCTCCAAATCTACACGCTGATGCACCGAGACTCCTTCCCCCGCTTTCTCAACTCCACCGTTTACAGAGACCTCCTCGCCAACAGGAGGCGCACCTGCCTCGACACCTAAAGTCCCCCACCTCACTCACCCTCGATGCCCTCCATCGAGACGACTACGTCAACTATGGTGCCAGAAGTCCGGTTTGGAAAAACAAACTCTTTCTTGATTGCAAAAAGACTGAATGACATCCAAGCTGGTTATTGTTCTTATTTATATTTTTCAAGCAATTTCTAGCCAGTGACGTGAGTTTGCTGGTTGTTTTTAGGTCAAATTTGACGAGGCCGCCTTCGCCGGCCGCTGATTGTTTTCGCGAGTCCAGATGTCTTGATGGTCACGTTAGACCGTGGACTCCTCAGGACCAGGAAGTAAGAGCGAGAACGTGAGAGAGAGAGAGAATGGACAGGCCAATGATTCCTGTACTGTAATAATGACACCTCACTTTTCATTTCTAACCCCATTTTTCTCCCCATATCATTCTGAGCTAATGAGATGAAGGCCGTCTTACGCCGACGACTGCAACTTTTTGTTTGTTTGCTTTTCTTTATTTTATTTTTTAAAAGATTTTTCTTTCAAAATAGGCTTTCCGGCAAGGGAAAACAAGCATTTATTTTAAATTTTTTTGGAGAGGGGAGGCATCCACATTGAAGAAGCAGAAACCGTCCATGTTTCCATCCCTCCATTCGAGCACTTTCCTTCTTAACATGTGAGAAGTAAGGGCTAGACTTGTGGTTGGGCAGCTACATGTAACTCAACAATGCCTTCACATGTGTTTTGACAAGACAAAAAAAAAAAAAACAAAAGGCAGCGAGTGGCGCTCCTGTAGGTCCTCCAACTCCGCCGTGCCCCCTTAGAAAGCAACCACAGTTAATCCCGACCATCCCGTTATTTCCCCCCCACCTCCTCCTGCTTCCCATTCGTACTCTCATAGCCTGACAAGCACAGGTCAAAAAATAAATTATAATAATAACACAGCGGTAGTCGTCTTCTACATTGAGGCACTGACGCGGTTGGGATAACAAACCCCCTGGCCTTTTTCTGTGAGGTGTAGCCGGTGCCAAATATGATGTCAACAGCGCCGAGGAGGACAGAACTCGTTCTAGCCACTAGCCAGCAAAATTTTTGTTAGCGACAATGCTAACACTTCCCCTCGGGCGCGAGAGCCGCTTGCTAGATTAGCATGCCTTTGCGCTATACTGTACACTCTCTCTTTGGTCTACTTTTCTAACAAAAACAAAAAAAAACAAAAGAGTAATAATAGTAATAATTTAAAAAAAAATTGAATGCATGATAATGTGTCGCTTTAAAGAAGTTAGAGGACAAAATGGAGGGGCGGGGTCTTGCCAAATGTCCCGGTAACTAATTTTTTTCTGCCCGCCCGGCCTGTTGATATGCAGTAGAAAGTGCATGACTGAAGTATTATGCTCTACTTTTTTTTTTTCTTGTCGAATTAACATCAATTATATTGATGTCCAGATAGATGACGATATATCTATCAGGTCCTAAAGTGTTAGCGAAAACTGTGACACTACTCGTTGAGGACTCGTGGGAGGAGTCAATGTTGCCGTCTGTGTATCGAACTACCAGACGTTGGGCGTGCCAAGTTTTGGTGGAGAGCCATTTTGAGAGCAAGCTAGTCAAAAAAAAAAGAAAAAAAATTGAAAATTGGGTGTACTGTACTGTAGTTACCCTTGTTAGCCTTTGTGTCTCTACCTTGCTCGGCTGGATTTTAAACTGCCGAAATGACTCCAAATTAGAGATGGGCACGAAATGTCCATGATCCACTTTCAAGCTAATTGAGTAACTTTTTTAAATATTAGTCATGGGACAGGAGAATTGCTCTGTGAATGTTCTGAACGCCTGCTTCCATGACTGTCGTTTTGAGCAAAGTTCTGAGTGGTTGTAAGTGACGTCACGACTTTATTGTTCACTTTCTTTAGACGGCAAAGTAGTTGCGAGGGAATATAAATCTCCTCTGCCGGACACGATTTTCCAAGTCCGCACCACCCTAATGATCAGTGCACGGATTATGTCCATCGTGACTAAAAATCTGTTTATTTGATGAATTGCAGTGGAACCTCCAAAAGTGGAACTATTTAGAGTTCAACCCTCCTGGAAATACAAAAAAAAAATAATATTCCGCAAAAGTCAGAGTATATGTTTTGTTATGGCAATAGATGTGATTTTTTTTTAATCACTTTATTTTTTTTAATTGAGTCGACGATGCACAATGTTAAATTTGAGCTGTTAACACCAAGTGTGTTTTTCTTTTTCTTGAGCTTTTTCTATTTGACAGACTTTTTCAATTCCGGCACTTCCTTTTAAACTCGGTGATGGTATCGCTCTGCCGCTAACTTTCTGCTGTGTCAGCCTTCAAAGGGTGAGTAATTTTACTTTATTTTAGTTGTCTTTTGTAACGGTTAACTTCTTTTGTATCACAGTTAGAATTTGAAATTGTTCCTTCCATCATAGACCGAAAGTTCTTTTCGGTATGGAATAAATTACGTTCTTTGGAAAATTGCTTTCAGCGAATTGAGTTTCTCGTCGGAGGTTCCGCTGTACATTCAAATGTAGTCGGTGAATTTTATCAATCGAGCGGGGTCAATCGAAATATTGTTTTTTGAGAGGAAAAAAAAAAGCCTTTTTTTGTTTTGTTTCGTTTTGAATCTAGGTTCAGTGAAGACAAAGGTCTGGCCTATACAAGTTCGTCTAAAGAACTAGTACATATTATTTATCCCCTGTCAGTACATGCAGGCGGCCACATTAGTGACATTCGCTGTGCATGCAAGCGCCCAGTTGAATCACAATATATATATATTTTTTCCATTTTTAGGAAAACAAGTTTTTTGCCGAATCTTTAAAACGCAAGTTAACACTAGAATGTTTCACCACTAAGCATATAAACAAATAAAAATAAATAAACGTCATGGTGCAATGAAAATCAAGTTTACATTTATAAAGAGACAGTGAGTTTATGCGCTTGGTGGCGCCGTGTTTAAAACATTTGGGAGATGAGCAGGAAGGTTCTATACTTGGGAGAGATGTACTGGGAGCACTGCGCGTCCGGCGTTTTCCCGCCCGGTGTCCTTTTTGCCTAACCACCCCCCCCTTTACCCCCAAATTTAATTTATTGCGACTCTTACACAGTCAAGGCGCTTGTTTGGTGTTGAATAACTGTGGATTTTATAAGCAATGAACATGTGAAGTCATGCGACGGTGGCGGTGCTCTGCCATTTCCACTTATTTTTTTTTTTTCCCCCCTTTTTAAGAACTAAAGTGTCCTGACAGGACGGGGGGGGGGGGGTTGCGAAGCTTTGGCCTTATTGACACATTTATTATGATCATCATTCTTCTTATTCTTTTTCTTCTTCTTATTATCATCTCCTTGGATGAAAACAAACAACAACCCTGTAGGCTTTTCACTACCTCTCATGTGGTTAACTTATTTCACATCTAGTTGTCAGGGGTTTTTTTTGTTGTCATTTTTGGTTGTTTTTTTTTTTTTTTTTGTAGATCTACTTGAAGCCTAACACTGTAAACTATAAAATGTGCACAGACAAAAATGTATCAGAGCGGCAGCGTGTGGGGGCAGGAGTGTATTCAAGAGAGTTTAGCCTCGACATTTTGTTGTTGTTGATTTTGCTTTTTTTTTTCTGTCTTTGTTTTGATTTTGAACTAGATTTTTTTTTTTTTTTGCATCTATATAATAATTCAGGAAACCACTGTCTAAGGGCTAATCCCATTTTTGCCTATGCAAATGTGTTGCTGGGAAAAGGGCGAGGTTCCGCCCGCACCCGTTTAAAAGATGGACCACGGTTTACATTGCCCTTTGCTGAAGTCCTTTCAATCTCACTCAGCAAAAAAATGTTCGCTCATTCAAGTAATACACAGAGAAAATAGTATATGCCTTCGTGACGATGCAGAAACGAATAAATGTTGTCTGACATGATGTGGCAGCGTGCTGGCGTCTCGCGAAGAACAGTGGCTGGCCTTGTGTACGATTTACGAACGGAGGATGTTTTATTTGTCAAAACAAAATAGCAAATTTGGAGTCACTGTCGCCAGCCCGTCTCTTTCCAGTTGTTTTTACATCCAGGTTTGAAGGGCTGAAATGTGCTCACAACAGTCTGGTGACATTCAACTTCCTGTGAATTTTAGATTTTTTTTGTTTTGGTTTTTTTGATCTGTGAAAAGATGTGTTTTCTTTTCACCTAAAACAAGAGCATGTCATCTTCGATATCCGACCTTCAAACGTCTCGTTTTTGTAGCCGCATCCTCGCCAACGATCACTGTGTCGATGCAGTTGGAAGCGCATCCATCGGAAGTGGGCTTATTTTTTATTTTATTTTATTTTTTTTCCCATTTTTACTCAAATAAATCCCTAAAATGGTCACCGACGAAAAATTGTTCACATAGCTAGTTTCAGCCACTTTTTAAAAATATTTGCGATGAGGTACGATTTGGGGCTTTATCGAGATCTCTCCGGCAGGTTTTGTCAATTTGCGCGAAATTCGATTCCTCGACATCGGTATGCCTCATTTTTGTTTTTCCCAAGACATCCTCTGATTCCGTCGCTTTTATTTCTCGTGCTCTGGCTTCCTCTCTCGGTGACGGGCAATACCACCATTCGCGGGAAAAGCGTTACAGTTTTGACGTCCTCGCTTGGCTGGTGTGCGACAAACGGATTTTAGGCGATCACTTTTCTCTTTATTGATTTCGATGCCTAAGCCTCAAGGTCAAGAGATGATGGAAAAAAGCGCAGGCGGAAATTGGGAATTTAAACATTTAGCTGATGGGGAAAGATGATTTTTTTTCTATTGAGCATGCTTTTTGCTAAATAAATGAAATAATTCAGTTATTTGCTACAAACGATACTGTATGAGTATGTATTCAAGTACTGCAGTATGCAGACAATTTAAAAAAAAAAAAAAAACTCTTTTGAGGGGTTTGTATTTTTCTCACCGAAGCATACCCGATTCTTGAGTGTTACATGAAAACAATGAGCCTCTTTGTACGAAAGTCGGATGATGATCCGTTCGTATGAGTTTGTCGTCTGGTTGCGAGAGGAAGGCAACAATTTCAAAATTCTTGAGCGGCGCAGGACCGACAGCATCATTGGAATTACAAATCCACTTTTGGATAATATTTTCACCTAAAACTTCTTGAACGAAGTCAAACGGGACAACAACGGCGGACCAACAGCGACGCCAGTGCGACAACAACCTTTTAATCGATGACGGACGACAGAAAACGACTTGGCGATATTTGACCCACACCGACTTCTGTTGACGCCAACATCTTTTTAAAAAATATATGTCTGACCCAGAAAAACCTTTCTGGTGACGATTATAAGAAAGTCGGACAAATACTGACAATAAAGTCAGACCAAATGCGGACGACAACAACTCCTTTGAATGGAAAACGATTTCTTGAAAGACATCTGAAGAACAGCAACCAGTTGCTGACTTCATAGAACTTTTGCCAACGACTTCTTCAACAGTTTTGGACCCAAAACAATTCACGACATCTTTCACAGTGAACGGACGACAACTTGGTCAACGATCTCGTACAGAACACAATTTGAACTTGAACGACGTCGGACTGACATCGACTCCTTACCGTTGACACCGATTTCTGGTCGAATTCCTTAACAATGGCGGACATAAAGCAACTTCTGACTTATGACGTCTCAACCAGAGTCGGACAAACACCAACAAAATGACTTTTTGAATCAAGTCTTGACGACGGCAATAACAACTTCTTTAACAATGTCGGTCAGAAAACGAGTTCTATAAGGAATCCGAGCGATCCGGAGCACTTGGTGTCCAAAGTGCCGTGAAATGCGGGAAGCCCTTAAGTGTAGCATCCGACGCGTCCCCAGCGTTGTCGCGGACCCAGCCGTCACATATCGCTGCGTAAATGCGTACCTCAAGAAAGCGTTGGCAAAAGGTGTACATTGTGACCCAACTTTTTGCTCATTAATGGTGTTGCTTTCGGCAAGTCTTTGCATGACGGTTCCAATCGGATGTAACAAAACTGTACTTTTGCATCTCCGTGTCCATTTCACAATGTATTGTTTTTTTTTTTTTTTTTTTTTTATTGGTCAATTCCGATACATTTTTAAAAAGTGAAAACGATGTGCCAAAAATTTGTCATTGCCATGCGGTTGGACTATAAGCACGGTCAAGTGTTTGTTTCATTTCAAAAGTGTTTGTCTTCGTAAAACTATATCAAGTAATACCCAACGCAGATGAAGTTTTTGTAAAAAGGCAATGATAACGTCCAATGGTCGTTGATTGCGGACAAATAAGAGCTATTATGTCACAACTGAAATTGTAACTTTTGTCGCCCGCAAAAAAAAAAAACAAACAAAAAAAAAATGACAATGTTCACCATTATTCTTCTGCGATTGTTCATTTCTCTGAAGAGCGTGGCTTCTTTCTCATTTCTCTGAAAAGGTGCGAAAGACCTCTCGTTGAGTCTCGCCTGCTGTGTTGAAAGCTGTGGTCCATTGGGATCAGCGGCACTTGATCTTGTCTTTGTTTACACGGAAAAAAAAAAACAACAACACACCATCTTTGCGTTACGACAAAAGGCCAATCTTTTGTGACTGCCCTTGAATATCTTGTCATTTGCATAGTGCTGCTAGAAAGTGTAACAACTTACAATAAATACTTAGTAGATTTTTTTTTTCACAAATGTCGTGGTGTCTTTCTTGGGGTCGGGCTGGGAAATTATGTGTTATGCCGCACGAGCATGAAGTATATGATTTATTTTTTTGGGGTGAGCTCCTTATTTTCCTATGCATTATTTGTTTGCCACCGTCGAAAGAGAAGCATCAATTTCGATATTTTGTCAGTTAATTTATTGAGCACCTCAAAAAGATCTTTGGGTTTCGGCAAATACATCAAACAAACCAATTCTCATGTTAATGAGAAAAGCAACGTGAGGTCACATTTTCTGTCTTTGTTCAAATTGTAAATGAAAAGCAATTTTGAAAGGGACTAAGAAAAATTAATGAGTCCATTAAAAATATTCTGAGGAAAATATGACCCCCCCCAAAACAAAGTAGACACATTTTTCTTAAAGATAAAAAACATGCAAAAAAAATTTGTGTGTGTGTGTGGTGGGGGGGGGGATAAGCTAGTACAAAAAAAAACTAAAGATGACTAAAAAGTTAGAGTCATAATGTTGGAAAAAAGTCCCGTGGAAGAAAAAAAGACGTTAAAACAAGAAAAAGTCATAATTTTATGAGAATTGTCTTTTTTTTTTTAAGAAATCATTTTAGAGACCTGGAATCTTATGATTTTTTTCATTTTGTGCAGTCAGTATTTTTTTTTTTTGGCGGGGGGGGGGGGCCAATAAAAGAAAGTCAAGC